ACAGTGGCTAAGCTTGCTTTAATTTATTGCATAGGGTAGGAATAGCCTTGAGAGAATAATTAGAAGCCCACTGTTTTTCATTACATTTTAAGACAGCATATTTTCCTGTCTACTGACTTTTAAGAGGGCCCTGCCAAATGGTCTGTGTGAGAGTAAATGAGCAAATAAAAAGATTGCTTTGTAGCTATTTGGACTTGGTGTTTAAGGGGCTTGATCTTCCTTCACATAAAAAAATAAACAAACTCTAACTTCAGTTACTCCAGGTTCCACAAAAATGTACTACGTGTGCCTACAGAAGCAAAAGGGAGAAAAGGATGGAGAGAATGACTTAGTATTCAGAGGAAAGGATTGCTAGCAGTGAACAGAGGGCATTTTATGGATTGATTAGGCAATGATATTGACAAATGATTGGGAAAAATGGAGAAGCAGTAGGACCTTTTGAAATGACATAGAGGGGAAATCTACTATAAACATAGCATGTTGAAAAATAATCCCAAAATGCCAAAGAAATTGTCTGGGAAAATGATGTGCTTTTCCCCAAAGTTCTGTTCTTACTCCAAAATGTCCTTCTCACCTATATAAAAACTTTAACCACCAGCCCTATCAAAAACCAGAGATACCGACGACTGTAAGTTTGATGGTAAAGTTGTGTTTTTAGGTTTTTCTTTTCTTTTTTTCTTTCTTTCTCTTTCTTTCTTTCTTTTCTTTCTTTTCTTTTCTTTTTTTCTTTTCTTTTCTTTTCTTTTCTTTTTTTTGACACGAGGTCTGACTCTGTCACCCAGGCTGAAGTACACTGACACAATCATAGTTCACTGCAGCCTTGAACTCCTGGGCTCAAGCAATCCTCCCACCTCAGCCTGCCAAGTAGCTGGGACTACAGATGTGTGCTGCCATGCCTAGCTTTTTTCATTGTTGGTTATTTTTGTTTGTTTGGTTTGGGGTTTTTTTCTTTGTAGAGACAGAGTCTTACTGTGTTTCTCAGGCTGGTCCCAAACCCCTGGGCTCAAGCCATCCTCCTGCCTCAGCCTCCCAAAGTTCTGGAATTATAAGTATGAGCCACTATGCCGGGCCTAAAGTTTGTAAAAGAATGAGATAGATCTACATGTTATAGTTTTTTAGAAGTCCAACACATATTGTTGAGGAAATAAATTCACTGAGTATACATTATGATACAATTCATGTAAAAAACAAAATATACTCTAGATAATACTACATAGTATCTATTTACCTATCTATTTACTATGTTACTGCTCCTTGATGCCTTTAAATGGATGTTTTCCAAACCTTTTTAATCCATTTTTTATACTTATATAGCTATCTATAGATCTAATATTACTTATATCTTTTTTTTTTTTTTTTATCTGAGACAGGGTCTCACTCTGTTGCCCAGGCTGGAGTGCAGTGGCATGATCTCAGCTCACTGCAACCTCCACCTCCTGGGTTCAAGCAATTCTCCTGCCTCAGCCTCCTTAGTGATTGGGATTACAGGCATGTGCCACTATACCCGGCTGATTTTTGTATTTTTAATGAACACGGGGTTTCACCATGTTGGCCAGGCTGATCTTGAACTCCTGACCTCAGGTTATCCACTCGCCTTGGCCTCCCAAAGTGCTGGGATTACAAGTCTGAGCCACCATACCTGGCCAATATATCTACTAATTATCTACAGATAGCTATATCTGTATATGTGAGAATAGATAGAAAAGGTTTCAAGGAATTTCTACTTCTGGTAGTGGTAGAAATGCATCTACTTACAAGCATCTATTTAAAGGCATCAAGGAGCTATTAACATAATGAATAATTATTAGGCTAGGATCCAAGGAAGGGTAAGGGTTCAGAGAGATGATTCCAGTGTTTGGGATCTCTTTTTCCTTTGGGAGTTATTTCACCATTTACGAGGGACTGCTGAAGGCACAAGAAACTGGAAGTTTCTTTTGATAGTCTTGTTAGGCTAAAAGAACAGGAAAATGACAAGGTTAAATGAATAGTCTAAACACACTAGCTAAAGACAGAAATTTCCAGTTGGATAGAAAGTCAAGAACCAATTATATGTTGTCTATGAGAACTAAGTTTAAATAGAAAAACATAGATGGGTTAAAAGTAAAAGAAGGGAGAGAGTCTTGCCATGTAAACACTAGACAAACAAAAAACACTACAGTAGCTACAAAGGGATACCTCAGAGATGTTGCAGGTTCACTTCCACACAAAGGCAATAAAACATATATCACAATAAAGCAGGCCACATACATTTGTACATTTCTCAGTGCATTTAAAAGTTATATATACACTATACTGTAGCCTATTAGGCGTGCAATAGCATTATGTCTAAAAAATGTACAGACTTTTATTAAAAATAAAAGGCTAACAACCATCTGACCCTTCAGTGAGTTGTAATCATTTTGATGGTGGAGGGTCTTGCCTTGATGTTGATAGCTGCTGACTTGGGGTAGTTGTTGCTGAAGCTCAGGGTAGCTGTGGCAATTCCTTAAAATAAGGCAACAATGAAGTTTGTCACATCGATTGACTTCCTTTCACAAAAGATATCTCTGTAACATGCAATGATGTTTGATAGTATTTTATCCACTAGAACTTCTTTGAAAATTGAAGTCAATACCCTCTGAAAATTGAAAATGAAAAAACAATGGAGAAAAGCAATAAAAACAAAAGCTGGTTCTTTGAGAAGATCAATAAAATTGATAAGCCTTTAGCAATACTGATGAGTTAAAAAAAAAAAAAGGAAGACAAATCGCCAATAACAAGAATGAGAAGAGTGATATTACTACAATTTCCACAGATGTTAAAAGGATAATAGGGCCAGGCATGGTGGCTTACACCTGGAGTCCCAACATTTTGGGATGCCAAGGTGGGTGGATTGCTCGAGCCCAGAGATCCTAGATCAGACTAAGCAATATGACAAAACCCATCTCTGTGGAAAAAAAATAAAGCCAGGTGTGGTGGACTGAGCCTGTAATCCCAGCTACTTGAAAGGCTAAAGTGGAAGGATCACTTGAGGCTAGGAGGTTGAGGCTGCAGTGAGCTCAGATCACACCACTGTACTCCAGCCTGGGTGAGAAAATAAGACCTTGTCTCAAAAAAAAAAGGTGGGGAGGGTCATAGAATATTATAAACAACTTATTAAATAATTCCAGCAAATTTGAGAATTTATACGAAATAGACAAATTCCTTGAAAGACATAAACTACCAAAGCTCCCTCAAGAAGAAACAGATAATCTAAATAGCCCTTTATCTAAGTTTTAAAATTGAACTTATAATTAAAAACCTTCCCACAAAGAAAATTGTTAGGCCAAATGTCTTCACTGTTGAAATGAATTAATTTCGTGACAACAATCTTATCCTAACAGTCAAACCAGACAAAAACAGTACACAAAAGGAAAATCCCAAATCCATATCAGTCATGAATATAGATGCAGAAATCCTCAATAACAAAGCAAATTGAATCAAGTAAATATATAAAAAGGATAATACACCATTGCTAAGTGGAGTTCATCCAAGGAATTGATTCAACATTTGAAATATTTTATTCAACTTTCAACATTTGAAAATCAATCAATGTAATTCACCATAATATCAGACTAAAGATGAAAAACCTCATGATAATCTCAACAGATATATAAAAAGCAGTGGACAAAATTCAAAATATATTCAGTATGAAATAAAACAAACAAACAAACAAACATAAAGGCCTCCCAGCAAATTAGAAATAAAAGAGAAGTTCTGGGCTGGGCGTGGTGGCTCACGCCTAAAATTCCAGCACTTTGGGAGGCTCTGCCTCTTGGGTTCAAGTCATTCTCCTGCCTTAGTCCCCTGAGTAGCTGGGATTACAGCTGCCTGCCATCACACTCAGCTAATTTTTGTATTTTTAGTAGAGACGGGGTTTCACCACGTTGGCCAGGCTGGTCTTGAACTCTTGACCTCAGGTGATTCACTTGCCTCAGCCTTCCAAAGTGCTGGGATTACAGGCATGGGCCACTGCACCCAGCCTTCATTGTGGTTTTGATTTGCATTTTCCTGATGATTAATGATTCTGAGTATCTTTTCATGTTCTTATTGGCTATTTATATATCTTTCTTAGAGAAATGACTATTCAGAGCCTTTGCTCATTTCTAAATTGACGTATTTTTTCTTTTATTATTGATTTGTAAATATTCTTTATACATTCTAGATACAAGTCCCTTATCAAATATATGATTTGCAAAAAATTTCTCCCATTCCGTGGGTTGTCTTTTCTCTTTCTTGATTGTGTCTTTTGATACACAGACGTTTTACATTTTGATGAAGCCTCATGTATCTATTTTTTTTCCTTTGGTTGCTTGTGCTTTTAGTGGCATATATAAGAATTCTTTGTCAAATCCAAGGTGATGAAGATCAATCTCTATATTTCACTCTAAGACTCTTTTAATTTTTAGCCCTTACATTTAGGTCTTTGATCCCTTTTGAATTCATTGTTTGCATGGTGTGAGGTAAGAACTCAACTTTACTTTTGCTTTTGCATGCCGATATCTAGTTATCCCAGCACCATTTGTTGAAAAGACTATTATTTCACCTATTGAATGATCTTCATCTTTTTGCTGAAAATTGACCATAGGTGTATGGGTTTATTTCCGAACTCTCAATTCTATTGCATTGACAACACAACTTTAAATTTTATCTAACACAAAAATTGACAAAGGATCCAAGAGAAATTGACAGCCACAGTGGAAGTTTAAAAAACACTTCTTGGCCAGGTGCAGTAATCCCAGCACTTTGGGAGCTTGAGGTGGGAGGATTGGTTGAGGCTAGGAGTTCAAGACCAGCCTGGGCAACATGGCAAGATCCCGTCTCTAAACAAAATTTTTTAATTAGCTGGGTGTTGGGGTCACCACCTGCAGGGGTCTGCCAGCAGACCCTGACTCAACGATGGATAAATAAATTCACTTACACCCAGAACTTTGGGGTAGGGTTTGTCAGTCAGTGTGAGATCCGCTACTGAGGAGAGAAGCGTCAACAGCAGCACCATGGAAATCTGGAACACTACAATGATGGAAATGTGTTCTTTACAAAGTAGCTCAACAGAAGAACCCTGAAGGCTCTGTGGGATTTGCCAATCTCCCAAATCAAGTATACAGAAAATCAGTGAATAGAGGGTTTGAATTCTCGCTTATGGTAGTAGGTGAATGTGGATTGGGAAAGTCGACATTAACCAACTCATTATTCCTGACAGATTTGTATTCTCCGGAGTATCCAGTTCCTTCTCATAGAATAAAAAAGACTATACAGGTTGAACAATCCAAAGTTTTAATCAAAGAAGGTGGTGTTCAGTCGCTACTCACAGTAGTTGATATCCCAGGATTCGGAGAAGCAGTGGATAATTGTAATTGCTGGCAGCCTGTTATTGACTACACTGATAGTAAATCTGATGACTACCTAAATGCAGAATCGAGAGTGAACAGACGTCAGATGCCTGATAACAGGGTGCAGTGTTGTTTACACTTCATTGCTCCTTCAGGACATGGATTTAAACCATTGGATATTGAGTTTATGAAGCATTTGCAAGAAAAAGTGAATGTCATCCCACTTATTGCTAAAGCAGACACACTCACACTAGAGGAATGCCATCAGTTTAAAAAACGGATAATGAAAGAAATCCAGGAACATGAAATTAAAATACGTGAATTTCCAGAAACAGATGATGAAGAAGAAAATAAACTTGTTAAAAATATAAAGATGGTTTACTTGCTGTGGTAGGTAGTAATACTATCATTGAAGTTAATGGCAAAACGATCCGAGGAAGGCAGTATTCTTGGGGTGTTGCTGAAGTTGAAAATGGTGAACATTCTAATTTTACACTCTAAGAAATATGTTGGTAAGAACACACACTTGAAAGATGTTGCTAATAATGTTCACTGTGAGAATCACAGAAGCAAAAAATTGGCAGCTGTGACTTATAATGGAGATGATAACAAGAATAAAGGGCAGCTGACTAAGAGCCCGCTGGCACAAATGGAAGATGAAAGAAGGGAGCCACGTAGCTAAAATGAAGACAATGGAGATGTAGATGGAGCAGATGTTTGAGATGAAGGTCAAAAAAGAAGTTCAAAAACTGAAGGACTCTGAAGCTGAGCTCCAGCGGCACCATGAACAAATGAAAAAGAATTTGGACACACAGCACAAAGAATTAGAGGGAAAATGTCATCAGTTTGAGGATGAGAAAGTAAACTGGGAAACTCAATAACATGTTTTAGAACAACAGAACTCTTTGAGGACCTTGGAAAAGAACAAGAAGAAAGGGAAGATCTTTTAAACTCTCTATTGACCACCAGTTACATATTAGTTGCCAATAGGCCAGCTTGGACATCAGTGTTTGTTGAATCCGTTTGACCAATTTGCACCAGCTTTATCCATTAATGATGGATTTAACAGCATGACAAAAATTATTTTGTTGTTGTTGTTCTTGATGGAGATTAAGATGCCTTGAATTGTCTAGGGTGTTATGTACTTAGAAAGTAACAGCTCTAAGTACCTTTCCTACATTTTTTTTAAATTTATTAAACAGGTATCTTCAGTTTAATGCAAGAGAATATTTTACCGTTGTACAATCATCTTCTGGTGGTTTGATTGTTTACAGAATATTCCAAAATAAAAGGACCGAAAGGTTTTCAAAAATTAAATAAGCTAAGCATCCATCTCAAGACGTCATAAAAATGTTGGAAAATAGAAAGCTAAGAGCAAAACTGAGTAAACAGAATATAATCAATGAAGAACAAATTTGGCTTTTTTGAAAACACTACTAAAACCAGCAAACTCTAGCCAAGATTGATTAAGTAAAAAAGAATGAAGTCACAAATAACCAATATCAAGAATAAAAGAAAGGATAACTATGGATCTTATAGATTTTTAAGATAATATGAGGATATTATGAGCTAGATATGCCAAAAATATTTAGATTAAATGGAAAATTTATCGTATCATGTAACTTAACAAAAATGATTCAAGAAGAAATAGCCAAATAGTTCCCCAATGTCAATGAAATTGAATTAGATGTTTATTCCCACAAAAATTCCATATCCAGATGGCTTTATTAGCAAATATTACCAAATATTTAAGAAAAGATTCACAAATTACTCAGCAGAAAAACAATATATCCACCAACTTGTTTTATGTCACGTCATCCTACAATCTTCTGATCTCAATGGTTTTCAATGAGAAACCAACTGTTCATGTTACTGAAAATCCCTGTACATGGTAAGTTCCTTCTCTCTTTCTTGCTGCTTTCAAGATTTTCTCCTTGTCTTTGGTTTTCCACAGTTTGATTATTATGTGTCTTAGTGATATCTCTTTGAATTTATCCAACTTAGAGTTTGTTGAACTTCCTGAATGGATAGATTAATGTTGTTCATAAATTTGGGAAGTTTGGGCCATAATTTCTCCAAATATTCTTTTCTTCCCTTTTTCTCTTTCTTCTTCCTCTGTATATTCCATAATGAATATATTGATATGGGTGAAAGTATCTTAGGAGGGTCTTAACCTCTGTCCAATGTTTTATTCTTAATTCTTTTTTAAATTTTTCAAAATTAATTATTTTTTTATTTTAATAGTTTTTGGGGAACAATCGTTTTTGGATATTTGGTTACATGGATAAGTTCTTTAGTGGTGATTTCTGAGATTTTGGTGTATCTGTTACCCAAGCAGTATACACTGTACCCCATGTGTAGTCTTTTATCCCTCACCTCCTTCTCACCCTTCCCCTAGAGTCCCCAAATTCCATTATATCATTCTTATGCCTTTGTGTCCTTGTAGCTTAGCTCCCACTTATAAGTGAGAACATACGGCATTTGGTTATCCATTCCTGTGTTACTTCACTTAAAGTAATGGTCTCCAACTCCATCCCAGTTGCTGTGAATGCGATTATTTTGTTCCTTTATATGGATGAGTTATATGCATATATATGTAACATATTCTTTATCCAGTCTTTACATAAATAATATGTAACATATTCTTTACCCAGTTATTGGGCATTTGGGCTGATTTCATATTTTTGCAATTGTGAATTGTGCTGCTATAAACATGCGTGTGCAAGTGTTTTTTCCTATAATGACTTATTTTTCTCTGGATAGATAGGCAGTAGTAGGATTGCTGGATCAAATGGTAGTTCTAATTTTAGTTATTTAAGGAATCTCCACACTGTTTTCCATAGTGGTTGTATTAGTTTACATTCTTCTCACCAGCAGTGTAAAAGGGTTCCCTTTCACCATCTCCACGCCAGTGTCTATTATTTTTTGATTTTCTAATTATGGCCATTCTTGTAGGAGTAAGGTGGTATCACATTGTGGTTTTAATTTGCATTTCTCTGATAATTACTGATGTTGTGCATTTTTTCATATGTTTGCTGGCCATTTGTATATCTTCTTTTGACAATTGTCTATTCATTTCCTTAGCCTACTTTTTGATGGTATTATTTGTTTTTTTCTTGCTGATTTGTACGAGTTCCTTGTAGATTCTAGACATTAGTCGTTTGTTGGATGCATAGTTTGTAAATATTTTCTCCCACTCTGTGTGTTGTCTGTTTACTCTGCTGATTTGTTGTTGCTGTGCAGAAGCTTTTTAGTTTAATTAGGTCCTATCTATTTATCTTTGTTTTTGGTGCATTTGCTTTTGCGGTTTTGGTCATGAGCTCTTTGCGTAAGCCAATGTCAAGATGAGTTTTTCTGATGTTATCTTCGAGAATTTTTATGATTTTAGGTCTTAGATTTAAGTCTTGGATCCATCTTGAGTTGATTTTTGTATATGATAAGAGATGAGGACCCAGTTTCATTCTTCTACATGTGGCTTGCCAATTATTCTGACACCAGGTTTTGAATAGGGTATCTTTTCCCCAATTTATGCTTTTGTTTGCTTTATCAAAGATCAATTGGTTGTAACTATTTGACTTTATTTCTGGGTTCTCTATTCTGTTCCATTGATCTATGTGCCATTTTTATACCAGTACCATGCTGTTCTGGCAAATATAGCCTTGTAGTACAGTTTGAAGTTGGGTGATGTGATGCCTCCAGATTTTTTTTTTTTTTATGGCTAACAAGTTCTGGGATACATGTGCAGAATGTGCAGGTTTGTTACATAGGTATACACATGCCATGGTGGTTTCCTGCATCCATCACCCCATCATCTACATTAGGTATTTCTCCTAATGCTACCCCTCCCCTATCTTCCCACCGCCTGCTATCCCTCCCCTAGCTCCCCCACCTGACAGGCCCTGGTGTGTGATGTTCCCCTCCCTGTGTTCTCATTGCTCAACACCCACTTATGAATGAGAACGTGCAGTATTTGGTTTTCTGTTCTTGTGTCAGTTTGCTGAGAATGATGGTTTCCAGCTTTATCCATGTCCCTGCAAAGGACGTGAACTCATTCTTTTTTATGGCTGCATAGTATTCTGTGGTGTATATGTGCCACGTTTTCTTTCTTCTTTTCTTTTTTTTTTTTTTTTTTTTTGGTTGCTTCCAGTACTTTTTTTTTTTTTTGAATAGTATTTTGGGCTCTGGTGTACATGTGTACATCCTGCATCCTGCAGGATTGTTGCACAGGTACATACATGCCATGGTGGTTTGCTGTCTCCATCCCCCCACCCCCAACACCTACATCAGGCATTTCTCCTGGTGTTATCCCTCCCCATCCTCCCCGCCCCCCCTTGCTTTCCCTCCCCTCCACCCCGATGCCTAGCCCAGTGAGTGTTGTTCTCTTCCCTGAGCCCAAGTGTTCTCATTGTTCGTCACTCGCTTATGAAAGAAAACATGCAGTGTTTGGTTTTCTGTTCTTGTGTCAGTTTGCTGAGAATGATGGTTTCTAGATTCATCCATGTCTCTACAAAGGACACAAACTCGTTATTTATGGCTGCATAGTATTCCATGGTGTATATATGCCACATTTTCTTTGTCTAGTCTATCCTTGATGGGCATTTGGGTTGGTTCCAGGTCTTTGCTATTGTAAACAGCACTGCAATGAACATATGTGTGCACGTGTCTTTATAACAGACCAAGTTATAATCTTTTGGGTATATACCCAGTAATGGGACTGCTGGATCAAATGGTATTTCTATTTTTAGATCCTTGAGGAATCGCTACATTGTCTTCCACATGGTTGAACTAATTTACACTCCCATCAACAGTGTAAAAGGGTTCCTATTTCTTCACATCCTCTCCAGTATCTGTTGTCTCCTGATATTTTAATGATTGCCATTCTAACTTGCATGAGATGGTCTCTCAATTTGGTTTTAATTTGCATTTCTGTAATGACCAGTGATGATGAGCTTTTTTTCATGTTTGTTGGCTGCATATATGTCTTCTTTTGAGAAGTGTCTGTTCATATCCTTCACCCACTTTTTGGTGGGTTTGTTTGTTTGTTTCTTGTAAATTTATTTAAGTTATTTGTAGATTCTGTATATTAGCCCTTTGTCAGATGGGTAGGTTGCAAAAATTTTTCCCATTCTGTTGGTTGCCCGTTCACTCTAATGATAGTTTCTTTTGCTGTGCAGAAACTCTTGAGTTTAGTTAGATCCCATTTGTCTATTTTGCTTTTGTTGCCATTGCTTTTGGTGTTTTAGTCATGAAGTTCTTGCCCATGCCTATGTCCTGAATGGTATTGCTTAGGTTTTCTTCTAGGGTTTTTATGGTATTAGATCATATGTTTAAATCTTTAATCCATCTGGAAGTAATTTTTGTATAAGGTGTAAGGAAGGGATCCAGTTTCAGCTTTCTGCTTATAGCTAGCCAGTTTTCCAACACCATTTATTAAATAGGAAATCCTTTCCCCATTGCTTGTTTTTGTCAGATTTGTCAAAGATCAGATGATTGTAGATGTGTGGCATTATTTTTGAGGCCTCTGTTCTGTTCCATTGGTCTATATCTCTGTTTTGGTACCAGTACCATGCTGTTTTGATTACTGTAGCCTTGTTGTGTAGTTTGAAGTCAGGTAGTGTGACGCTTCCACCTTTGTTTTTCTTGCTTAGGATTGTCTTGGCTATGCGGGCTCCTTTCTGGTTCTATATGAAGTTTAGGGTGTTTTTTTCCAATTCTGTGAAGAAAGTCAATGGAAGCTTGATGGGGATAGCATTGAATGTATAAGTTACTTTGGGCAGTATGGCCATTTTCACGATATTAATTCTTCCTAACTATGAGCATAAATGTTTTCCCATCTGTTTGTGTCCTCTCTTATTTCCTTGTGCAGTGGTTTGTAGTTCTTCATGAAGAGGTCCTTCACATACCTTGTTTGTTATATTCCTAGGTATTTTATTCTCAATTGTAGCAATTGTGAATGGGAGTTAGTTCACGATTTGGCTCTCTGTTTGTCTGTTATCAGTGTATAGGAATGCTTGTGACTTTTGCACATTGATTTTGTATCCTGAGTCTTTGCTGAAGTTGCTTATCAGCTTAAGGAGATTTGGGACTGAGACAATGGGGCCTTCTAAATATACAATCATGTCGTCTTCAAATAGAGACAGTTTGACTTCCTCTTTTCCTAATTGAATACTCTTTATTTTTCTTATCTGATTGCTCTGGCCGGAACTTTGCCCAATACTATGTTGAGTAGGAGTGGTGAGAGAAGGCACCCTTGTCTTGTGCCAGTTTTCAAAGGGAATGCTTCCAGTTTT